GTTTTTGTGAGTCTTCAAGAAGACTTTCCTCCATTTGATGCTCAAATTAGAGACACTTTAATGTGATAGATATTATATTTGTTGTATTTACTAAAGATTTTGGTGTGTGCAACAAAGCAAAAGCTAAAAATGTATCTGCAGTTAGTTATTTATTAAACCTAGACCACTTTCAGGGAGACATCAGGCCTGTCTATTGACATTCAGTACAAGTACACCAATATGCTATATACTTTCCCAGAAAGATAGTGTGGGAAAGTGTCTGACTAAAAATATATATATTTTTTGGCTTCTACTTTTTAATCTGATGTATTGGAAGACAGCTCTAAGTCACGCAATACTATAAGCTACCACAGATTTCTGTTTTTTCCTGTACATCATTCAAAAGTTATAGTTTACTAAGTGAGGGGTTTCTTTGGTGAAATGCCCGTCTCTAATAAGCAAAGGTGACATTATGGTTACTGACTGGTCCACAGGGATACTGCTGTCTGTCCACAGGGTGACATGACTTTACTGTTGACTAGGTAATTATACGTCTATGTTGCCATCTTGCTAGTAAGATACAAGTTAATGCCTCCACAGGTTACTAAATATCAAATGTTGGATATACAATGTCACATCCAAGGTAACAGATTCTTCTGTTGTTCAAAGCATAAAGGAAGAATTTACCATGATCACAGAATGCAAATTTCAACCTCTTTGATTCTTACAAATGTCCTCCACCCACATCTGAATGTAGCTACTGATTTCCCTGTGGTCCATCACAGGAGAAGAAGTGGAGCTGGTTGTTCACACATGACCTCTGACCTGCCACTGGGGAGCCAATGGGGGAGCAGCCTGTACCTTGGGAGCTCTTGCCCTCTGATGTCATGGCTCCAGGCAGTGGGCTTTGTGTGAACCCATCCCCCATGGCACCTCTGGCCACTAGATCTTCTGCATTATTCATACAACACACAATAGGGTGGAGAGAGAAACAGAATATGGAAAAGGAAACACCAAGGTTCAAGACCTTCTCAGATCACAAGGAACTTCTGCTTAACCTCCCTTGAAGCAGCAAACTCAGGGATAGAGCAGTTTTTTAAGGAACTGGATCTGAAGGAAGGACTGGGGATCAATGGGGATTCCCTTGAGGCTAGGTGAGGATCGCATTCACCGCAAGGTGATTGGTGAATCAATGTGGTTCCCATGGTTCACTTTGTGAGAACGGATCCTCCCTACTGCATGTAGTACTGTCTTATGATTGGTTATGCTGCCCGTGTATTAATATGGAACCAATGTAGCTCTCATGCTTCACAGGCTGTACATAATACAACATGCCAGTTAATGTTAATATGAAGTTAACATTGGAGAAGTTATGTGTCAAAAGCCCATTGAGGGTTGGAGAGCTCCCATTTGATCTGCTGCATACAGGCACAGGTCACTGCTATGTTTTAATCTATAAGTAATATCTTCTTTATTTTGCTGTGCACCTAGCATGGTATTGTTATCATTGCTTGCCAAATTGTCTCAGTCAGTGAGTATGATAGGTGATTAGTGCAAAGCATATACATGTTAAGCTGTTAATCCCTAATGCAAACCACACAACCTAATAGTGCTGCACACCCCAGCTCTTAATACAGCCCAGCACATAACCTGCTAATTGCATAATTGCCTGATTTGTTTTAACTGACAGTGGTGCCCTGGCCCATGACAAGGCCATCATTTGCTCGTCCTCATTGTCAGCAATTTGCAAGGTGGATACCCCACTACACACCCACTACACAACATGTAGCACCACAGTATTAGAGAGAGCCATGAATTAAGAATGCACTGCAGCGGTGCTGAGATGAATAAATACAGCCATTGCTAGATTAATTCTGAGAGACAGGGAGGCATGCAGACAAAATAAACTATCAGCAGCGGGCTGTCCACCAGATAAAGTGGGTACCCCATCGTCTCTCTGCTGTAATTATTGGCTAATAGTCATTAACCTGGCAAACAGAGGTTTAGCTGTATTGTTTAAAAGATTCTGGGATGCATAATGACAGACTAATATGTCATAGCACTGGGCGAGATGGGGGAGGGGTGGATTAATGAGATTTTACTAAAGGGAGTGTACAAGAAGAGGTGGGGCACGCCTGGAAAATATAGGGGAAAGAGGGCCACATTAAGCTAATTGAAAGATGAGTGCCTACTTGTAAAAGTGCTTCTAATGGCATATTTGTTTTTCTCACAGCATCACAAGGATAATGCAGAGGAGTGGAGTCGTGAAGCTTACTGTAGTAAGGACACCAGGAGTCTGCGGCTGTGTGCAGACCCATCCTCTTGACATCTACTATCATACAATACTTGCACATTTTTCTCACTTTAATTGTTTATTAAGTTGTAATAGGGTTATCTGCATTAAACATGTTTGGAGTCTAAGGTTTTAAACATAAAACAATGTATTATAAAACAGTGTTGAAAGAGGTATTGCAATGATTTTAACAAACAGCTATGTATTGAAAGGCTTCTCAGAATAACAACCAGTTAATCCTGTAGTTTCCACACAAACTGAACATTAATTAGGTTTCTCCCTTTCCTTCCTCTCAAATGACTTGATCCCTTTTTGAATTTGTGTGAACTCTCTGCACCAAGCCAGACCTCAGCTCCAGTATTTGACTGCCCTACAAACTCAAATGACCAGTAAATGAGGAGCGCCCACATAACGTCTTCTAGCATCCTCTAGCCTCCTCACAAGGCCCAGTGCATAGGTAAAATTGCTGACCTGTTCAAACAGCTGGCTGGCCCTTCCACACAGTGGGTTAGAGTTTGGCCTGTAACATTGTGTTTTGGCTTTTGTTTAACTTCATGAGTGGGGAAGTGGAGCCACAGGGTAGGACTAGTACTGGATAAAACAAATGTCTAATCCCGGTTTGATTCAGTCAGTGATTGAGACACATTGGGATGAAGGGCTTTGCTGAACAAGCCTTCTTTATGATTTTGGTTAAAAATGCAAAGCTTTTGTAGTTTAATTTAGTGTTATTACTTACAGTCCAAAAATATTCCTGAGTATTTATTAATGGAACTTCCATAAATATTACCTTAATTTGATGGGGAAGTTAGGAAATTTAAGATGTCTTAAATGGCTTAAACTGAATTAAAAATGGCCTATATGATCCTGAAAACGCAAGCACTCGCTATTGCTTTTTATTGCTTATGAAAAAGAGACACTATTAAATTAAATTCAAATTAAACTGCATTCAGATTTTATCCTCCTCCAAATCTGAGTTGTAATTTTAGGGTACCTTGGTGTCTTTTGATCTATAACACTCACAAATAATCTTTTCTGTGATGAGAAAATATTAAAAGACTGCCTCACTTCTTAGAACTATAATTTCTTTAAAAAATGATCTGGTTGTGGAACTATTTAAAGATTCACTTTCTAATTTGCTTTCATTTTTTTGTTTCAATTAAAGCAAATGGAAGTTCTAATGCCCAGATGGTCATGCAGTATGAAATAATAGTGCACAAGCTAGAATTTTAAGTCCTACCTTCAGGCAAAAACTCCAGAGTGCACACAGAATGAAAGTGTAAAATGTTTTTTAATGTATATTTAACAACAAATACCCCAGTGACTATTGATGTTTCGTCTCAGAAGAATCTGTTTCTCCAGTATATCTGAGGGCATGATATGAAACCACTCACTTTTATTTTCTCAGTTTTTCTGCTCTTCTTCCTCTGTGTCTCTCCTATACTGTCTCTCTTTCGCTGTCTCTCTTTAAACATTTATCTTCTGTTTTCTCCTTACAGGCCCTTTGTGCTTTGTGATGTTGGTTTTTACAGCTTTTTACTCACCAGAGTTGCCATTTATCTTTTATAGATGCCAGAAGCTAGGAGCACATACGAAATGTTACCATTTCTCTGTGACTAATTGTCATCGCTTGCACTACTCCCTTGATGTCATTTGTGCCTTGTCCCCCAGGAACCTGTGTGAACTGTAGTATTTACACTATTTCTCTGTTTCCCTCGTCAATTTCTATCTTGTTCACACAAATACCCATGCCATCTTATATAACAGCAGCAGTGGCAGTAGTTACTGTATCATTTTGTGAAGAGCTCTGTCGTCGTGCTACTGTATAATACAGAAAAAGATCTTCTCCTGGATCCCTTGCTAGCTCTTGATGTTTGACAATGTGCAAATTTTCAGGCAGTCTAAGTAAAGCAAGTTTTCTGTGGACAGTATTTCCCCATTAATATTTATTCAAGGTGAAATAGGCAACTTTTAAACCTTCCCTGACATTGATGATTATTATTTAAGACCGCAGATTATACATCCTTTGGACCTCAATAATAAATATACAGTCTGCTCCATTAAAGGAACACAAGTCTCTCCTCTTTGAATGTCCAACACCATTCCCTAATGTATAGTGTAGCAGTCCCATCCTCCCTTAGGCATTTCACTGCCTTCAAAACAGAGAACACACAGAAAACTGCCTGTCAACCAAGGTGCAATTAGTGCCTTGCATTAATTATTCTATTATTTCTGCAATTTTTCTCTTTGGGTGGCATGTTTGCAAACAGCCCTAGGTACAGTTTGTGTACAGAGTAAGTCCCAGCAAGAGTTTACATCTTTTACAAAACAGTTTTTATTACTCACAACTTAACATCCCTACATTAATGAAGGTTGCAGAGAACAGAACAGAGAACAGCCCCACCTTCGTGCTTTTGATCTGTTTACTTGACACTCAATTAAACTCTTTATTACTCATCACAGTGTGATTAATGGTCACATTCACAGGGGTGACTAACAGAAAATATGAATGAGTGAAACTGGATGGGAAAGAGGGACAGTTGCAGGGGGAGTTTTTTGACAAAGCTCTGTTAGTTACTTATTGCTCCAGGGGGCTCTGAATTTCATGAGCAGTAAAGCTTGCCCTTACAAACTAACCCCTGTTCTGTCTTCTCCTTTGACCACACTGATTATGCACAATCAATAATGGTTTGTATTTTTGTCTCTGTCTTATCTCTTCTGGGCCATCTAGGATGCTGCAGGCAAGGTGCTGGACCGCTGGACCATCATGTCCCGAGAAGAGGAGATAATCACCCTGCAGCAGTTCCTGCGCTTTGGTGAGACCAAGTCTATTGTGGAGCTCATGGCCATTCAGGAGAAGGAAGGTCAGGCAGTTACAGTTCCCTCCTCCAAGACAGACTCCGGGATTAGGACATTCATTGAAAGCAACAACAGGACCCGCAGCCCAGGACTCCTGACACATATGGAAAACAGTAGTCCATCAAGCATTCATCATTTTGAGAATATCCCCAACAGCTTAGCTTTTCTCCTGCCTTTCCAGTACATCAACCCAGTCTCTGCCCCCATGCTTGGCTTGCCCCCCAATGGCCTGCCTATGGAGCAGTCGGCTCTCCGACTACGGGAGCCCAACCTGCCAAGCCAAGGTGACCAGGTAGAAACCAGTGAGTCAGACGTTTCCCTCTCACCCTTCCGAACAGGTCAAAGCCCTAACCGTGGAACACTGGGGACCATTAACAACAACATTGAACCCAAAACAGAGCCCAGCAACAGGGAGTCACCTATTTCACCAACCCCTTCCACTCAGCAGGCTCAACAACAACAGCAACAGCAGACACAGCTCCAGCAGCAGCAGCAGGGCCAAAAGCAGTCCCCAAATCAACCTCAGCAGCCAAACAGCTTGAATGAACATCCAGTTCACCACCACTTTGTAAAGGACGAGCAGTCTAAAACCATCTCGCATCCGTCCTTTTCCTCCAAAATGCATCGGATGCGCCGCATGGGAGCCACCTCACGAAAGGGTCGTGTGTGCTGCAATTCTTGTGGCAAAACCTTTTATGACAAAGGCACACTTAAAATACATTATAATGCTGTACACTTGAAAATTAAGCACCGTTGCACCATTGAGGGCTGCAATATGGTCTTCAGCTCACTACGCAGTCGCAACCGTCACAGTGCCAATCCTAATCCACGGTTGCATATGCCCATGCTTCGCAATAACCGTGACAAGGACCTCATTCGTGCCAATTCAACTACTGGCACGCCTGTCATTTCAAGCACCAAGAATGGTGGCTTCACACTCACCAGTCCAGGAAGGCCACCACTGGGCTTCACAACTCCACCGGTGGACCCTATGCTTCAGTCTCCTCTGCAAAGTTCACTGGTGTTCCCCTCCCTGAAGTCTGTGCAGCCAGTACAGCCAGTACCCCCATTCTACCGTACACTCCTGTCTCCTGCAGACCTTGTCAGTCCACCAGTGTCACTGCCCACCAGCCCCATTCTGCCCACTACCACCAACAGTACCACCCTGATGGACCAACAACAGCAGATCCTGGCTGCAGCCGTGGCTTCACACAATAATGTTCATGTGTCAGAGTCAGGGCCCATGTCCCATCGCCTACCTACACCTAGTGTCAGTCAGGACTGTACCATTGGGAGCAGTGACCCTATGCCCAAAAAGAAGCCTCGTAAATCCAGCATGCCAGTGAAGATTGAGAAAGAAGTGATTGATGTGGCGGATGACTATGAAGACAAAGATGAGGATGACAATGATAATATCCACCATAATCACCACCATCACCAGTCATCCCTGCTTCACAACAATATCAAAATTAATGGAAATTGTAACAGCAACAACAACTGTGGTAATGGTACTGGGAACCACAGTAGTGGTAGCGGACAGCAATCCCCTTCCCAGGATGAGATGAGCCCTGGCTTAGTTCTGAGAGGTATGGTGAGGCAGAGTGAAGATGAATGCCAGGAAGGAAATGGCGGTGACTGCAGGGGTGGAAATGATCTTCGAAGCTCTGGCGAGCTACGTTGCATGGACAGCTTCACCTCAGAGGACCAGGACCATGAGAGAGACTTTGAGAATGAGTCTGAAACCTCTGACTCCAAGATATTCTACCGTGATGATCTGATGGATGTGGAGGAACAGCAAAAACACAGCAGGGGTGGAAGGGGTCTGGACAAGGAACGGGATGATGAGGGTGGTGAGGAGGCCCATTTGCGAAAAGAAATGGAAGGTAAAGGCCACTCCACTCCCTCCCCTCATCAGCCCTCTATCAAGATCAAGGAAGAACTCAATGATCCTACTTATGACATGTTCTGCATGGGCCAGTAGGGCCTTTACAATGGAGGCATGGCAGCGGCCGCTGCTGCTGCTGCAAGCATGGCTGCTCTACATGAGAGTTTCATCTCTTCAATGGGCTATGGTGCCAGCCCACCCAAATTCCCTTTGTCTCAATCACCAGAGGGAGACACTTGCTCAAGTCCTGACCCCAAGATCTGCTATGTGTGTAAGAAGAGCTTCAAGAGCTCCTACAGCATGAAACTGCACTACAAGAATGTGCACCTCAAAGAGATGCATGTGTGCACGGTGGCTGGCTGCAACGCTGCCTTCCCTTCCCGGCGGAGCCGAGACAGGTCAGTGTTAGAATTTGGTAATATAATGTTCTCCTTTCACTGTAATCGTCACAGTCGCAGGTAGGTTCATTGGAAATGCTTAATTCAGTCTTTATCATCAATTACAGTTTAAATAAAGGCACAACAAAAACCTACAAAATATACTGTTGGGTTTTGCAAGAATATACAGCAGTTTTATAAAAGCCATTTTAAAACTAGGTCAATAGATATTAGCATTTTAATGAGTAATATGACTTAGAATTTGCTGTTAATAAAACAAGATGGATCTGCAGTATTTCATGACATGCATCTAGATAGGCTATCACTTACAATCTGTTAGCTAATGAAACACTAAAAAAAATCATTCAGGCACATCTGCTCCTTTTTAAGTCAAAGTTTATAAGAGTAGGGTGTCAGGATGAGAGGCATATACACACACATTGATACAAGCACTATGTCCTACCCATCAACCCTCCAGCTGGAGTGTGTTGTTTACCTGCCCTCACTACCTCACCTTGTCACAGGGAGGTGAAGGCGCATATATTAACACAGACAGCGGTTTGTCAAACCACTGCATTTATTAGCGCATTAAGAGGTGAGGCTAGCCATGCAACCTGGGCTTGTTAGCACATATCAGTCCCACACACTCACTCTGCAAAATATATCTACTGCAGCAGCAATGGCAGCAGGTTGATGCCATAACACATGCTGGAGGTACATAGCATCACTTGTGCCCTGAGCTAGCACAGGCTGCCTGAGGGATTACAAACAACCATCCATTTGTTTATTTATTTATTTTGCTTCATAGGAGTGATATGAGAATGTTAAATTGGCTAGTATTCAGTCATGCTTAATGAGCCTTTACTGTATAGAGATATATAGCTAATAATAATGATTATTAGTATTAGTGTTATTAGACAAAATAAAAAAATATCAAAATATCATTTGTGTGTGAATTCTGGTTTGGTGACATAAAATTGGATTCTTTAGTTAGTCACGTAAACAACCATGGTCACTAATGTAGAATACCCTCACATGGCTTTAAAATACAGAGCACTTCAAGTATAACAAATAACTCTCACGCTCACACTCACACTCTAGAATTCAGTTGTTGTATAGTTACTCATTCTTACTCTGCTCTTTAGCAGGAATAGAGATGAAAAAGGTTTCTATCTTTTAATATCCATCTTAAGTACACTTTAATTTTAGTAAAGGGCAAGTTGCACTTACTGCATGCTTCAAATTGGCAAACAAATCTTCCTACAGGGAGCATTACACTTTTCCTCAATGTTTTGTCTCACCCCCACACTGGCTCTGCACTCCCCCATCTCTTCCTCCACCACAGCTACAGTATCTCTCTCCACCAAAACTTGCTGCTCCTTTTCCACCCAAAGCCTTTTATTATTTTTGTTTTCCAGCGGTATGTGTTCCTACCACTGTGTGTTCATTAGTGGAATGTAAAAAAAAGAGTGGGTTATCCTGAAACTTTATTAGAATATATGTTGGAGAGTAAATAAGTTGGAGTTGGTAAAGGTGAATCCCTGCCGCTCCACTGACACAGCTGTGCCGACAAGCAGCAAAATGACAGGAAGTGTTATTATAGCGTGCATTGCCTCAGTGTGGTGTACTGCCACCGCTGGGTTTGTTAGCTCCCTCCTTCTGACAAGGCTTTAGGCATAGAGAATGCCTGAGGCATGACCGGCCGGTTGTGTAACATTTGCATTTACACATATACACACTCACACACAAAGGGCTATATACAAAACGATTTGTTCTTCTATAGATCTTATTGTTTTATAAAAGCATGCATTTGTTTATTATTTAATTATATATTTACCATTTATTGAATTCCTTACACAGTAAACCAGGTATATAATATAAGCAAACAACTGCCTTATTTTAATTTTATTTTAAAAAATGAAGAGTCTGCCATGATACAGTTAATGGGATTTTAACATGATTAAAAAGGTTTCAATAGCAGGTAGGGGGTTACACCTGCAAAGAAAACTTCTTGAAGCTACCTCACAGAGTGTACTGCTATTAATCAGTAGATATTGCTCAGACCTTTATCAGTGCTGAGGTGGATGAATCACAAATTTCTACAAACTTCTCTGGTCTCCATACTGGAATCTGCAGTCATGATCCTACGATGGTTCGTCAGAAAAGAAGAGGAAAAAGGTTGGAGCGAGAAAGGTGCCTTTTCACAGATTTGCAGCAAGGAGTTCGGTAGCAAGGTGTGCTTTAGACAGGCGCAACCGGTTCAAAGATTAGAGTACACTGCACAGAGAAAAAGAAACACCACAGCCTGAACTCTTAAATTCTCTCTAAACCTGTCAGCTTGAATGTGTGTGTGTGTGTGTGTGTGTGAGAGAGAGAGAAAGAGAGAGAGTTTGATTTCATGATGAGAAACACCAGCATAAAATGCCATTCAAAAACAAAGCGGCAGAACATATGGGAGGCAGAGATATCTTTGGAGGAAGGAGGGACAATTGCTGTTGTGAACAAAATGTATCTTTAAACCAGGGGTGTACAGTATAACTCTGGGTGGGTGAGACCTAAGCACACTATTGTTTCCATACTTTTCTGTGAGGGATAAATTCCTGATAGCATGTGGGACATATTATTCTGCAGCTGGTTCAAACAGGGAACAAAACAACAGAAAGAAGGGCACTGCATGGCTAGTGGAACCCTGAGATTTTAAGACACAAGCCGGGGTCTCATCAAATCTGTCCCTGAATAATCCTCTAATGGCATAATGTATGTTTGCGCATAATGGCAGGAGTAAAATCTGAAAAGAATTTGCTTGCTTTCATTAAATCTGATAAGATTAGAAAGATGCAAGCACCCCCACAAAAATATCTGCACAAAATTTTGAATTTGTATTACTGGCAAATAGATAAGTGAAACTCCAGTCTTTCTCCTAATTTAATCTTTTTGCCAACAGTGTTGGCAGTAACAACTAAGAATCAGCTCTTTCCAGTGGCTCACCTGAGATATAGAGGACTGACAAAAAATACACTTAAACAAAGGTAATTCTCTTTAAAAACCATAAAGAGAACCATAAGAATAAAAACCACATGAAATTTTAACAAGAGGAAGGTAAACCAGTGCATATCTGTTGTTAATTTTACAGCTGAATAATATGTGCTAAAGCAGTATTATAATATGCAGTCCTGCCTGGCTTCCTCTGCTCAGTACCTCCCAAACAGCTATTGACATCCAGCAACGAGGAAGCCCAGGTACCTCTGAGTATCTGATTAGTCCACTGACTGAGTGAAAAGCCAAAAGCACATAAACATACCATCAGACATCATCAAAAGCTCCTATATCCAAGCCAAGAAAAAATGGAGCAGAGGTCTTTTGACCTACAAAAAAAAAACAACTAAACACCGGTGACACTGTAGAGCAGCACACACTGTAAATGTGCTGCCGCTGAAAACGTACTGCTAGCCTTTATTAGGTTTAGATCACTGCCCTATGAAGGAGCAGATCTCACACACATATATACACAAACATGTTTAAACTGTACATACTGATACACACGTGCAGGAAAGGATAAATGATTATGTCCTTGAGCAAGCAGGTAATGTGTGTATTTTGACTGTAAAACAGAGAGCAACATAAGTGTGTGTGTGTGTGTGTGTGTGTAGTTTTCCAGTAAGGTGTTTTCTCCCAGCCCCCTAGCTGCCTGCTACACGGAGGTAAATTATTGCATATTTATTGAGAGGGGAAGCAGCGTCTGCAGAAGTGTTGAAGGAGCTGTGTGATTAACTGCTGCAAAGGCACACGCACCAGCAATCAGCACCATTATTAGCCTCGTTAATCATATTTTTTAAAATGGTGACAAAACTTGCCTTACTTATTTTTTCAGTGCTATCCTACTTTTTCCTTTTAACCTGCTCCTCCTATGTCACTACAGAAAGTTAAGTTAAGCGTCCCTCTACCACATTCCCATGGTGCTGCAGTGCGCAGTCCTGGCATGAGCCATTGCAAACAGAGAGAGTGAAGGTTAATTATGTTGGATAGCCACCACCCCCTACCCTCCTCTGTCTCCTTCATTTTCCCTGGGTCCCCTCACGGCATGTGGGCCCGGCTCTGCTGCTCCACAGTCAGCTCTCTGTTTGTCTCTTATAAACAAAGGGCACGCAGCTCATAGAAAGAATATCTTAGCAAAAGTCACTTAACCCAGTTGAAAACATCTGCTGATTAAATTTTACATCCCTTTGGTTTATCTTGGATAGTTTCCTCGTGAGGCATTCTGAGGAGAATTACTTTATTCTCAGATGACTAACACCCACACAAGCACACTGTCAACAGAATTCCAAGTAAATTTAAATCAGAACTTAAGCATAAAATGTTTTTTATGTTATTTAATACATACTTGATGTGTATCCATATTTAGATGAAAATGCTCAAATCACTGTTTGTAGCTTATGTTATTGAACAGATTGAAACAGTGCAAAGGGGATACTGTATAACCGTGACAGAGAGTGATAAATGTTACTAAAACTCTTGTCCTCCCACCTACATCCAAAACCTCATAACACACCCCATACGACAGGAAAGACAAAGAACCACTGGTGTCAGTTTAATACCACTCAGCCTTCCATCTCATTTACACATTATGAGTCATTTAGATGACATACACTTGCATACACACACACATAGGCACTAACACAAAAACAAGGGCAAGGGCCATCAGATGAACCTAAAGATGATTAACGCCAGTTGGGACAGACACACTCTCGCTCTGCCTCCTCTGCACAGTCAAAAATGGGATCTCTGGAGGCCTCCCCCATCTTTTGGGCGAAGATGAGACTGTCAAATTGGTTTGCCAGCCACATTACTGGCCAACAGGGAGGCAGAGATGGAGGAAGGGGGGAGAAGTGAAGAGTGGGGTTTGGGGGAGGAAAGATAGAACATACTGAGGTGGAGTGATGGAGGTGGAAGGATGGAGGGGGGTGAGAAATGGGGCAGAAAGCCTAAATCTGATAAATGATGGGATAAGTGCATTATGCCCACTATGTATGGATTGAGCTGACTTATTTTGATTATGTAGGACAAGAAGGCAAAACTGGAGTTAAATAGCAATGTTTATGCAAATGATCATAAGCTGGACTCTCTCTCCTCCTCAGTTCTTGAGATTAAATCCAAATGGTTACAAATGATATATCGTAAACAGACTTCTTTTCTACCATCGATCTTATCAGCATATACTGTATCTGTAGAGTGGATAAAAAGGCTGGAGTGGTAAATGTGAGATATTTCAATAATGTTGTAACAGTCTAACAATGTTGTGTGCATTTTCAGTATTTAAATGGCTAATGTAGCTATAGCGCAGAGTACTTACTGCATGATATTTAACATGTTTGACTTTAATATCTATTGAGATAGCCATGGTTAACTTAGAGCTTATTAGCAGTGAGAAGGTGTTGTTATAGAGATGGAGACATGTTGCAAAGGACCTGCCTACCTGAGCATCATCGACAGCATCTCGAACCTCAGGCTTAACTAAACAAATCAGCAGCCCCTCTTCATGTATGCTGGTCGGTATCCCTGTCTTTGAAACATTCTGGCCTTTCACAGCCAAGCCTCCACACATACATTTGACCAGACAGGGATACAGCGCCACAGACACTGAATCATGAGTCCCATATTTTAGCCATAAGCTAATGCCATATGGGTGCAACTGTACTATCAAAGGATAAAAATGTACAAAGGATTTATATAGTCTTTTTGATTGAAGTCCCACTATATGGAAGTAGTATATTTTCTGTTTTTCACACACACATATACACACACACACACACAATGACAGCCACAGACAATCGATTTGCTGCGCTCTCTCTCCTCAATGCTGACGATGCTCGAGTGGATGGGCTCCTGGTTGCTTGGTTTACAGAAAAGGGTCCCTCAAATGAATGTATTTTTACCTCTTGCAGGACAATGTCGGATAGGGAAGTAAATAATTAAAGGAAAGGGACCCTTTTTGACTGCATCAACCCTGCCACTGCTGGTAAGCTCTACTATCCATTGTGACTCCATTTTTGCCCCTCCTGCTAAGGATGACCCTTTTCTTTTTTTAATTTTTGTTTTGTTTTACACACGTGCCCTTCCCTGCATGGAAACCCTTCACATTAAAGGCACTGCGTGTTTGCATACTTTCTTGTTTGATTTAAGTGCTGACTTGATATGAAAGGAGTGGGCATTGTGTATGTCATATCTGACACCGGTCATTAGTTGCTTAAGTTTCCTTTCTGTGTTTTGTTGTGACATGTGCCATAGTCCCCTTTTTCTTAGTCTGACTTGGCAACTGTGAAATTGGAGCAAAAAGGCACTGAATTTGATTTTTCAAGCCCATTTCACCTTGCATCCTTCAGCATGGCTTTGTATGCTATGTGAAATCCTCACTATTCGTATCCTGGCTTAAGCATGGCATTTGTTACTTAGTTTCTTTCATCAGCTGTAACACATAGTGTGATACAGTTTGCCTTGTGTTTGGGAAAAATGCCCATCTTAATTAAATCCAGGGCTACATAAAGATATGTTCATTGAGGTGCTCGATTAAGCCACCTCCAATAGGGAACAAATGCGATAATGCTGTCAGGGCCTAGTGCTAATATGCTATCCAGTTCCCCTCGATTATCACATTACCACAGCTCAAATCAATTGATAAACTCCCATTCAATATGGTGGAGTATTTAATTGAGTCAGAGTCTATTGGATTTGAGGGCTGTGCAGTGCAGACATGCTGACAGTGGTAAACAGTAGCAGGGTGCTCTCTCTCTGTTGCTATGTTAGTGCACTTTCCTGAGGAAAGCTGCAGAGTGGATTTATCTCTCTGTGACTGTCCATGTACCCCAGCTGCTAGTAAGAATCTGTGGTGCTTCGTAGATATTGAATTTTTACAGTAGATAATATATTCTGA